TTTCAAACCATAATTAAAATTCTCAAACCTAAACCATACCGTTTTTGACCGGTTTGGTTTGGTTCAAAACCATTTCGTTGACGGGGCCAACGTGGCACCAAACCGCCGATTTCGAAATTGTGGTTTCAATTCGATTATTCGATTTGACGATTTTTGCTTACCGTCATATTACCAACCCCCCACGAATTGTGAATCCTGTTAATGGAGTGGTGGAGGTTAACTACTGACAATTGGCACATCTGCCAGGCAGCGGTGGAGACAATGCTCACCCATGGAACTCTTTGACTAATGCCTATTTGAATTCTGCCACCAAATAATTTCAAAGCCCAATCGCTCCATGAATGGATAGAGAAGCTCCGTCATCAATAATGCTTGCCGTTGAAACTCAAGATTAACTTCTGTGCCAATTAGTAATTATATCAAAAAAAATATGATGCTGGTTGATTTATTGAATGTAATTATTAGTTCCAACATTTATTTGGATTTTTTAAAACTTAATAACTAACTTTATCTTGATCAATATTTATCATATCTTGATTTTTTTTTATTTCCTTATTATTATTATTATTATTATTATTATTTTATTTTTTTTTTGTAAAATTATATTCACTCAAACTTTGAATACCAAATATTAGAAATCATTCATTTTCCTACAAAAAGAAAATGTTGAACTATTCAAGCCATTCTAATCATAAATTTATAAAGCATGCTTGTTCTTGAAGAGCAATTGTTCTAGTTGCTACTTTTACGGTGGAGAAAGTATTTTCTGCTATGAAAATTGTCAAGAATCGATTGCATAATCGATGAGAAATCAATTATTAAGTTATAGTTTGGTGACATATATTGAGAACGGTGTATTTGACAATATTGATAATAATGTAATTATATGACATTTTCAAAGTATGGAAATGCATATGCTACAATTGTGATAGTGTATTGACTCATTTTTATTACTGTCATGTTTTTTTTATTTTTAAAAAAAATTGTATATTAATTTTTGACCCACAATAAAAAATATCTTCCTCTACCATTATGAGCAATCAAAGAAGTCTGTCAAAATATAATGAGTAATCAAATATGTATTTTTTCGTTATTGAGAATCAGTTTAGTGATTGAGCATTAGGTGCGATCCATCTGCCACGTTAATTATTCCGTTGCAGCTGTTAAACGGAAGTCATCTCAATAAGTAACTTACATTTTGAAAAATATAGTGGTCAAAACTCGATATTTGAAACTGTAGGTAGCAATCGAAGGTACCAACCTAAGTTTAGTGATTATTATGATAATTAAGTTTACTTTATTTAGTTATTGATTCTAAAGATCTAGAAACACTAAAATTCTAATCAAATGGAACTAACTAGTTTAATCAAATTCTAATTCAATTCGCATAGTTTCGTTTGGCTATAGTCAATGGCTCAATGACACTGTGTATGCATGGATTGTTTGAGCTCCATCTTTTTCTTTTTCAAAAAATTCATTTTATAATAGTATTACCACGAAAAATGTGTAATTAAAAAAAAATTTAGATGTAATATTATTTTATTAAAATATATGTGATTGAAACGAGATCAAATCACTCTTTAAAAATTCATTTTGATGAAAAAAAAGATTGAGAGTAATTGTTGCGAATTGTATTGTCACACTTTTCATTCCCATCCTAACAAAAATATAAAAATCAATTATCATCCAATTACACAAATAATTTTTAAAGAAAATAAAAAAGCCAAGAAAATTCGTAAAGAAGAAAAGATGATTTCTTCCACCGCCTTAACTCTGTCGAACCTCCGTCCAATCCCTTCGCCGACCACTGCCTCCCTTCCCGAATCCAAGTCCAAACCTTCATCTCCATCCACTTCCGAATCTTCATCTCCTCCCAAACCGCAGGCTCGAAGATTCAAACCCAGTCCTCAGCTAAACCGCTGGTCCAGAGCTCGCACCATAAGATCCGGCCGCAAACTAGATCGTCTAATTCAGAATCCCAGTGTGGAAATGACTAGTTCTAATAGCTCTCCGGTTGGTAATAATGATGGAAGCGAATTGCATCTTCTATCTCCTTCTAAAGGGTCCAGGAGTAATGAAGATGATTTAAAGGACCTGACGGCGGGGAAGTCGATATATATGGTTTCTGATGGGACAGGGTGGACGGCCGAGCACTCCGTTAATGCGGCTCTAGGGCAGTTCGATTATTGTTTGGTCGATCGGGTTTGCCCTGTTAATACTCACCTGTTCTCCGGAGTAAGTTTCATTCTCCTTTTATCCTTTTCTTGGCCGTCTGTTTAATATACTAATTTATTCCATTGTTTGTATAGTTTTCACCTCGATATCATGCTCGGAGTGAATATGAATTCAAGTTTGATTATACATTTCTTTCTGACTTCTATGATATAAATCATATGCATATGGTGAAAGCTTTATTGAGAGAATTCACTGTTTTCATGTCACATAACTGTTGAAGTGTTTAATATTAAGGTAAAGGAAATGGGGGAGTCCGTTTCTATTATCTCGGAGTACCTTGGATTTCAAATCTCTTTATCATGCCAGGTATACTATGATAAAATGCCTGACCTTGGTTGTATAGTGCTCGTTAAATATACACGTAATTTGATAAACTATGAACATGTATGCTCGGTGACCCCATAGCACGTAATCGGTAGAGGAAAGGAGTTTAGGTTTGTGGTTTGTAGCAGATCTGGAAGAGGGGCAGTAATTGATGAAGTTGGTAGAGTGGGAGTATGGCGACCTCGATAATATGATGGTTTTTCTGTTTCTAAGTGGTAGAGTTGGTGCCTAGAATGTTTAGTATTTTCCAGTACCAATCTTTTATGTCTTATGTAGTGACTGTACAGCGATAATTTATTTTGGCGGCTTCATTATATTTTCTAATGATTTTGTCTCTAAATATATTCATTGATTCAAGTCTATTACTGAAGTAGGCTTCTGATTAGGTGCCAACTGCCAAATTTATTATTCTTTATGATAATTTGTTCGATATAATTAGTTGTTTATTGGTCCCGTCAGTCAAATAGAAAAATAGATCATTACTTTGCTGTGGAAGACCCATCTGTTACGTAGTTGCCATGCAATCTTAACCTGTTTCTATGTTTTCTGAACTCGGATGTATTCTGCTCGTTTCAAATTTACTATGCGAGTTTATAATCTCTGTATTTGAGCTTTAAATGCTAATCCACTGACAATCAATTAAATTGTTTGACAAGCTTGATCCCTATGACATGATTTTCATGTTAATGTCTTGTTCTGCAACTTTGTATTTATACAGTCCCATGGATTTTGATGGATAGGTTGACTTATTTGCGTTTATATTCTATATTTGTGATTTCTAAGATCGATGATGTTGAGCGCTTGATGGAGATTATCAAACAAGCAGCCAAGGAAGGAGCATTGGTTGTGTATACTTTAGCTGATCCTTCAATAGCTGAAACAGCTAGACAAGCATGTGAGCTTTGGGGTGTAACATCTACTGATATACTTGGCCCAATAACAGAGGCAATTGCTTCCCATCTTGGTGTTTCGCCTTCTGGTCTTTCCCGTTGGGCTCCAGGCAGGAAGAACTCCCTTGATGAGGAGTACTTCCGAAGGATTGAAGCTATTGAGTTTACAATAAAGCAAGATGATGGGGCCTTGCCTGGAAACCTGCATAAGGCCGATGTTGTTCTTGCTGGCGTATCTCGTACTGGGAAGACACCACTGTCTATTTATCTATCACAGAAAGGATACAAAGTGGCAAATGTTCCAATTGTAAAGAATATAGGGTTGCCAAGGAGTTTATTTGAGGTTGACCCGGAGAAGGTCTTTGCTTTAACTATTAACCCTGTTGTCCTGCAAACAATCAGAAGGGCAAGAGCAAAGACCTTGGGCTTTGATGACGAAATGAGGAGCAACTATTCTGAAATGGACTATGTGAAAGAAGAGCTGGAATTTGCCAGTAAAATTTTTCAACAAAATCCCATCTGGCCAGTGATTGGTGAGTTCATACAAATTCTGCACAACTCATCCCTGAAGTTTTTAATTTCTGTCTAGATTGCTATTTACTACTATAATCCCACAAGAACTAGAAAAATAAAATATTGATCCCAGCATATGCTGCATAGACCCCTCATCAGGCCTAACAAATAAGGGGAGTTTGTTGCAGTGACGGTGTTTTGATTATAATTTGAGTGTGTTGCTTGTTTTGGTTGCAGAAGTTACAGGGAAGGCAATAGAAGAAACAGCAGCAGTTGTACTAAGGCTATACCATGACAGAAAGAACAGATGCTCGATGCCCAGAATTTCCAAACGCTACTAGAGAAATTGAGATTGGGGTCCTGAAACCTGTTTTAATTGGATCTTGAGCTGAACAAAGATATAATCTATTTTGTACACAAGGATTATGGAACATAAAAAGTTTGTTAGGGGAGCATATCTATGTTGAAAATTATCGTGTAGTCAGGTGATTCAAGTGATACCTAAGCATAGCTTATGATCTTGAGAAGTAATATGTTACGGCCCATCATGTTATCTTAAATGTGCATGTAAATAATTATGCTTATACCAGATTTTAACCATCTTTTTCACATACAAGTATGGTTAAATATAAATGTCAAAGCATTGGACTCAATGAGATTGTATATTTAGTAATATGATTAAGTATAGTGAGAAATTTGATAGTTTAATTGATGCTTTCTGTATTTGCTACCATATATTTAGTGTTTTTGAATCCTTACTGCAAATTTATGCTAACCTTTAGCATATAAATGCATTTTCTTTCTACAGTTTATTAATTGATTCATATTACTTGTTTCTCCTATTTCTGTTTGCTGTCAAATTGTCATGCAGAGAATTGTATCATTTCATTTAAACTTGTGCGGAGATCTAATACCAACATGAAAGGTAGATAGATCCCGTGCTTGTCTCTTGCACAATATGATAATTCTCAGTCTTAGTGCTGCCATCTGTTGTCATCAAATATTATGCTGTGAAGAGAATTAGGCTTGGAAAAAGTGAAATCTGCGGAATTTAAAGCCACAAGAATGGTAGGTTAGTCTCTTATCCTTTTATACCAATTTTCATCTTTTCTTTCTTTTCTTCGTGTGTCAGATTGTTCTCACCAGATACAGCCAACAATTCATAATTAGAGACTTATTTCAACCATAATCATTTTATCCCTCATCATAAAAGTTGGTGGATCATGTAATGAATGTTATCAATCAAGAGCATTACCATCCCCATTGAGCTTTCCCATGGACAAAGTGAAATAGATTAGTAGTATAGTTCCCATGCTTGACCTGCCACAGGAGATAAGATTTACTCAATCAATGAACTTAAACTCTTGCATTTCTCAATAAAATAATTTTACACATAATCGAAATCTTTTTCTTATTTTCGAACCACATATTCTCCAAAAAAATCACTATTCCAAAATACATTTTTAACCAAACATGGGGCTCAAACAAGGGCTAAATGTTCTTTCTACTGTTCAACATGAATGATATCTATTCATTATTAGCAGATATATTGAATCATCTGCTTTAAAAAATTATTGATAATATCCATTTGAATTCCTCAATTGGGGGACGTTTGATTAATTAATTCATTGAAATTGTAGAATTACGGGAAGTATTTTCATCTTGGCAAGTCTGGCCTGTAACCAAGGAATGAACTTACAGGGTTGCAAAGAAGAAAAGTATCCTCCTGGGATCAATTGTCCAGAAGGGAGAAGAACGCCTGAAGCTGAGTCTCTTGCCTCCAAATTTGCTTTCTGTAGCCCTGTTGCTCATGCTTCCATTCATGATTGTGATCTGATGATGGGTTTGGGGGTTGTTCGAGTGATCCTTGGATCCTACTATCACTACTGCTGGCTTTTCAGTTGTGATAGTCCTGTGTAAAGCAGCTGCAGTTTTAAGACCAAGAAAAACTCAGAATAAACATAAGCATTAGTTTTGCTCTTACTCTAGCTTCCCTTAATGTAAATGCATGTGCAGCCCAGCATGCGATATGTGAATAGAACACAAAGTGTGTCCTGACAAGAAGTTTAAATTCATCTTGGAATATTTTTTGTCCTGTTGATTTAGCACGCAAAGGAAAGAAAAATTGGCAGAAAAATTTGGTGCCATAAAGTTTGTGTACAGTAGAGTTGACATGGAAACAATTTTTAAATCCAGTAAAATTTGAAGTTGCGTTATGATGCTTGCATGTGCCATATATATTAGAAAAATAGCACCTACGGCCACCAGTACTGACATATGTAGCATCTGCGACACCATAGTATACAAATTAATAACCTCATTCTTTTCAAAGGATTAATACCCTTTGATTAGATGAGTCATAGCATTTGAATACAAGATGGTTAAAATTGATTACCGGGTTTACACAAACAGATTTTCATTAGCTTTCTTTAGAATCTATCGTACCAAACAATTGCACTAGTACAGATTTCTTTATACGGGACAGTATATATAATGGATGTGAATTAGAAACTTGGACACGACTTTTTGATGGTTTCTTCTTTGAAAATGGACATGAAGAAAAGCAAATAGTTACCTCTTGGTGAAGTTGCATTAACCCTACTAGTGTCTTTCTCGTTGCGTGTAATAGGGTTGATTTTCTTCTCGTCGCCTCTGAGTGATCCTATCCTCGAAAGGTTCCTCTGCAAATATTTATTTATGATCAAGTATAAGTATTACAATTTGCCACTCGTGCAAAGAAAAATACCCTTAAAGCATGGTGATGTCTTGTATTTATAAAGTTTAAACAAGAAGAGGAGCTACTAAAAGGCAAGAATTTAAGGCTGAAAAAGCCAAGAGTTTGATACCAAAACGTCTTGTCTAGTTAAAAGATACTGGAATCTGGATAACAAAGATATGGTATAATCACAAATCCAAAAAACAGTTTTTGAGATTAAAATGCTAAGAAATTACTGGATAAACTTACTGAAATTCTTGAATTTTCAATATCATCATCTTTCTCTTTGAGATGATGAGAAAAACGTTGCATATCCATCACAAAGCTATCGGATTTAGTCCCTCCATTTACTTGATGATCAGACACAGAAATTTTCTGATCACCATCTCCGTTTTCTTCACCATCAAAATTTGTGCTCAGATTCTGATGAGCCATTTCCATCTGAAATATGAAAAATATAATACGTGAGAGAATTTAAGAATTAGGAACCTCAATAAAACAGTTAAAAAAAAAGTCGGGAATGAATGAAAAAACTGTGACTTTACCAACTTTACGTTTTCAGCCATTTTGGTCCACCTTGTGCTGCTGAGAGAATTCAAAGTAAAAAAGTAGTTGAAGAAAGAATAAGGCGGATTGGAATGTTGTTGTCACCACCTTGCGTACTAAATCAGGATTACTACTTTTTTGTTTTCATCACCTTATCTAAAATGACACATCAAAACAAACAAACAAATAAACCTTGTATAGTCAACTTTGTTCGCCCATATCAATGATAAAAAACAAGTTCCTTGCACGAACTATCTCGTGAATGATAAGAAAGAGAATGCTTCATTTGTAAGACTTCATTTTCTTTAACTAACTGCTATCATTCCATCATTTGTGGATAGAATTTCGGCAACCCAGATTTTTCTTCTTCGACCATCTTCTCTTTATTCAGTTTCTGAAAGGAAAAAAATAAAAATATCACCAGAAATTTAATGGGTTTTTACTGATGTTAAGAAGGATGATGTGTGAAAGGGGAAAGGAGAATTTCAAGGTGAACTTTGGAATGAAATCATGTGTCACGTTTTTGTGGATGGAAAGGGACCATGCAGGTCTAGTCAGTTGAGAGGTTATGAGGATTTTAGTGGGGTTCTATGAAAATCTTATCCCCAACTAGTGCTTTATGATTAATATTAATGTATGGCTTATCTAAAGAATGCTTTTTTAAGCTACACATGATTTGGTGGCCATTATAAGCAAGATTACACCCCTTTACCTTTAGTAATCAGAATGTTTTTCTTTTTGCAAAAATACTCCATCTCTGATGACATTTCTAGAGAGTCGGGTCTACCTATCGTTCTTTACAGGCCATACGCTCGTATAAAAGAGGTTTAGTTACGTGTGTGTAAACGGAGAAGAGTCACACCCGATTAACAACTGGTGTAAAACTGAAGTGTCGCATATACTTTATTCTTCTGTTACGATATGTACGGTGTGGAAGTCCAAAAGTTAAATGAAAAAAAGATAAAGTGGCTAGAAAGCGAAGAAGAAATGTGGGTGATTGCATAAAGAAAACTGAAACGTAGAAAAATCTGCTATAGATTGAGCATATCAAAATAGCATGATAAAACGATCATAATCGTGATAGTCATTGGCTTCTTTATTGCCTAGAGAATAGCAAAAAGAAAAGCTTCATTAGTTATTGATATTGGCTTCTTTACTGCCTAGAGAATAGCAAAAAGAAAAGCTTCATTAGTTATTGATATGATCCGGGATAGGCAATCACTTTGTAGAGTTTTGGAGTGCAAATTGAAGAAGTTGACAAGTCAAGGGTCAAGTTTCGTGAAGGACTCGGGAGCCGAAATGAGTTGGATTCAAGGTTTGAAAGATACTTGGAAAGAAAACGAGCAGAGTGGATGAAAACGGGTATACCTATTAGCTTGGTTGTTAGATTTTCGCCCATGATACATTTCGAAAATGGCACAAAATTTTGCACAAGGCTACGCGAGCTCATGGTACTTTTGAGCTTGCGATCACACAGAAACATGCTGAGAACAAGTTGGCGGAATTTTCCTATTTTCGCGATATTTCCTTGTTAATCTATAATTATATTTTATTTCCAATTTTGATAATATTCTATGACCTAATTACATTTTATTAGGGTTTATAACATTAGTATAAATATGAGATTTATTTCATTGTAAAAATAAGAACATTTTTAACATTATGAATTGAATGAGATTTCTCTCCTTTTGTTCTTGATTGAACATGTACCGAACTTATCAAATATTGTTATATTTGTGGCGTTCAACCGTTAAAACTTATCAAAGGATTAGGCACCCTATGTGGCGTTCGAAAATCGAGCTAGGTTCGTTGGTTTTGTAATCAAGAGGTCATTCAAACTTTGTTTTTATTTGGTTGCTTGATTCAATAATTTTGCAGGTCGAGATTCTACCGTCTACAACCTGAATTTGGGCTTTCCCGATGTTTTCAATTAATTTCGCGATTTCCACGCTGATCTCGTACCCGGGTTCGCGTCATTTGAAAACTCCTTATCAAGGGTTCTGATACCAAATGACACGAACCCGGATAAGGGATCAGCGTGAAAATCGCGGAATTAATTGAAAACGTCGGGAAAGCCCA